TAAGCACATATCCTCATCACTCATACTCAAAAGTAAACATTGCGTTGTCATTTGTGAAGACTCTCGTGAGTATTGGCGCGTATAAATCCTAAGCAGACCGATAGTATAAGAGTGACAATTTAATACGATATACAAAATTGAGTACATAATACTTAAGATTTTTCCTATTATTAAGTGTTGATTTTTTTCGCTCGCAAAATGGTCAGCTGACTTGTTTTTTTGCAGATATTTTTTTGACCCATTCGCTGCGGTGGCTGGCAATCTGTTTGTGGGAGCTATGCATGAGCGCAGTCAGGTTGTGGGAAAGATTTATGGCGCAATTTTATGCATTTGGATGTCTTATAATAAAAGAGATTTGTTTAGATGCGCTGAAATTGCACTATGGCCATTAATAAGGTTTTTTTTTTGATGTTATGGTATTTGTTATGATTTGGAAAGTAAAATTAAGCACACTCAATTGTTGTCATTACTACGTTCATCTTATGTAAATATTATTTAGTAAGTAGGCGGCACATGTGTTTGAGCCCCATATTTTAAATTTGTTTATCATCCCTGGCCACTGTTATTACTTATTTTGGCCATTTCTATCTAAAATATCTTTATTATTGCATTAAGTAGAATTTGTTTATTATTTTTATTTCACTACCAAATATCACTGCTGGCAATCTGCGTCATAATACAACTGAACATACACAAAATACATACATATGTATATTAAAACAAAAAAAAACATATTTGTCTAATAAAATGATAACACTGGCGTGAAGTGCGCACTCTGGCAGTCGGGCGACAACTGTCAGGATGGCCGAGCGGTCTAAGGCGCCAGACTCAAGTGCAAACTTGCCCATTGTCAATGGGTTTCATATGGAGCTTTCTGGTCCTCTCTGAGGGCGTGGGTTCGAATCCCACTTCTGACAAGAATTTTTTTCATATTACGTTTTTTTTTAGTTTTTATATCTGCTTAGCTTTTAGTTATTAAAAACAAAAAATTGATAAACTTTTTGGTTCTCAGCATAGCACGAATTTGACCTATTAAGAGATTTTTTGGGTATGTTTTTAATCTTGGTGACCCTTACTTATTCATATAGTATATAGCTTTTAAATTTGTACCTGTTATGTTATATAGTATATTTTTCATTTTATTGTTTTATTTAATTTTTTGTATTTCTGATTTTTTAATTTTATTTATTTATGTCTTATTTGTATAATTTTCTTATTTATTTTATTTTATTCTATGTACATCTTGTTACATTTTTTACTTATAATTTAATTTTTAATTATAATTTTTTTATTTATTTTACCTTTTCATTTTGTTAATTTTCTTTTTTATTACTTATTAATATTTTCTTATTTTTATTGCTTTTTATGTTTGCTTTATTTGATTTTGTGTCACTCCGTTTTCTATTTTATTTTGATAAACATTTTTATTTTGCTTTTTTACATTTCAAATTAACGTTTTATTTTTAAATTTTGTGGTTTATTTTATTATGTTCCTTGTTTGTTTACTTCTCTTAAATTTTTGTCTTATTACACTTTTTTCTAAATTTTATTTTATTTTAACTTCTTTTATTCAATTATGAATTTTGATGATTTTTTTTTTGGAATTCATAATTTTTATATTGTTTGATTTTTAAATTACTTATTTCCTGTAGATTTTTATTTATTTAACATAAAATAAAGATTTGAATTAATACATTGAGTTTAGTTCGTTTTATTTATACATAATTGTTTATTTTTTATAGTTCTTTTTATTTTTTATTATAAATATCGTCAGCTGTAACAAACATCATCGCTGAAATGTAAAAAGTCATAACTAATAAAAAAATTCGAAATTCACTTTTTGATTTATATGATGGATTTCATTGAATTACAACTCTCCACATCATTTTATAAAATAAAAAAAAATGTTAGTCATGACTATATCCATTTTAGTTGCGATGTTGTTACGTCTTTTTGCATTTTAGGCATCGATATGCATTTTATTACAAATATTTTTTTACCTTTTTTTATTCTATGTTATATGTTGCTACATATTTTTCCTTTTTATAGACATAAAGTTCTTAAAAAAATATATTGGTTTATTTGATTTACTTTTATTATTTTGTTAATCTAATTTTTTGTTCTTATATATATATTATGTTTTTCTGTTCGCTTTTTTAATTTTATGATACACAATTTTTTAATTTTTATTTCTTATATTTTAATTTTTAGTTTCTATTTTTTTATTTATTTTTTTATGTTTTTTATTTTCTTTTAAGTTCTATCTTTTTCTTTTTATTCATTCTATTTAAGATGTTTGTTTTTGTTTATGTATTTTTTTTAACTTTATTTTTTAAGAATTAATATTATTTTATTTATTTGATTTTAAATAGATTTTTTGTGAGCTTTTCCTTTGTTCAGTTTCTATGTTTGTACATATGTATTTATATCTATTTTTTAACTCATTTGACTTAAGGTTTTTAATTATTTACTTAAAAAAATAATCATAATCATAATATTTCGATTTTATTTTGTTTATTTAATGTAATTGTTTTTTTTTTATTCAATTATGTTATTAATAAAATTTTTTGCTTTGCGTTGCTGCACATCTTTTATTTCAGCATTTTTTTCTAAGCTGCTAATCACTTTTCATGCATAAACGATTTCAGTTATCAATTCGTTACGCGTCATTGTCATCTGCCGATTAAAGTTTCAGTCTACATTTTCAAAAGGTGTATCATCGCTGTCAAAGAATGATTATCAAACCACAGTTCTACATACATATGAATGTATGTACATGTGTGTTTGCATTTATCAAAGAAGAAATAAATTGTGACAAGCATTCGGATGCGTTGACAGCTTGCTATCTGCGCTTGACCGAGCCATGAAAAAAAAAAAAAAAATATCACACTTAACAGAAATTTATAACAAAAAATATTTAAATGAAAAATATACACAAATTAGGCTAAAAATGCAAGCAGATGAGTAGCGAGATTTATAAAAGTATTTAATTTGTCAAAGACGGAATTTTTTCGTAATTATCTAAACGCCACGCCACCCTTCTCTATACTGGAACTCACCCACTTTTTGCAATATAAACATTCTATAAAAAATGTGTCTGCATACGAAATACTCATAGATAAAAAAATCCAATACAACAAAATATTTAACGCTTACTTACTTTCAATTTAACATTTTAATTACATGCATTCAGTGTACTGGGTAAATAAATGAAAATTATCTATTTTGACGGCTTTTCAGCGGGTTTGGTGGGGTCATAAAAACTGTACGCCACTAAGTACACATCAAAAATTTGATGGTTTTAATAGTAAGGTGTGTGTGAAAAATTATAGATTTCGTTTAGGGGATAGGCACTTTGCGGGACAACTAAGAAAGCAACCTTCAAGAAGTTCATTTTACCATTGAACTTTAAAGACTGAAGACTGAAGTGAAAAAAGGGAGTTTTTAAATAGTTTGCAAAAAGTGTTTGGAATTTGTGCAAGTGAATTTAGTTTAATAGGAAAATTGCTTTGCCTCTGGAAAGGAGCTAAAAAGCTGAAATGTTAATGGATACTTGAAATTCAGGGAATAAGTGGAAAATTTATAAAGACATCTTTTGGGTTTTTATTGAAAACAGCAAAATATTAAAACCGCATACAAAATGAATGATTATATGGATGAAAATAATGAACCCTTTAAGATATATGACAAGGATTTCAAATTGGGGCAAGTTTTTTCTCAATAACTGTAAACATTTTTGATGTAAATTGGAGACATCTATTTTGCGATAAATTTTTGTGCAGCGAAACTTGTGCGAGCGGTATTCTAGAATAAGTGTGAAAAACTTATTTAAACTTGAAAGTGATTAAAAATTTCAAAATATATAAGGTTGAAAAGAAATTTTCAATAATGACCTAAACTATATATAATAATAATTTAGCGTTTACACATTTGATAAGTGTTTGGCCAAGCTTCTCCCCCAATTTGTGGTGTAAGTGAGGGACCTATATCTTCACACCGCCCCCAATGGCAAATGGATTTTATGAGAAGCTTCTTCATGGCAGAAATACCCTCAGAGTTTTGCCTATCGAGGGGCGACCACTGTTAGAAAAAACCTTTTAAACATTTAGTGTTTATCGGACTAGGGATCGTACCTAGACCCTACTGACGCATCTTTAAGTCCTTTTTCCTTAGTGAATTTTGGAATGAACCATTCTGCCGCTTATTATTATTTTCTCAATCACCCTTATTTTAAGTGTATAAGTTGGAACTCGAAGGGAGTGGTGGTGAATGGATGAGCTGCAGCTCCGAAAGCTTGAGCCTCTCTTAAGGGGAAAGGAACAATCTTACAGACTATTGCCTCAATTGGGGAATTTCCCACTAAAACACTTATTTCTGATGGCAGCAAGATAATCGCAACTCTACATCCTACAGATCACATGTGCTCGATGGCATCCTACGTGTCGAAATTCAGAAAATATTGGACATCATTATTGCATGATTGTCAGAACACTTTGGCCAACAATAAATTCTCAAGGCATAAGGTATCTATTTAACCTAAGCAGGCAATATATCCGCAAAGTGACTAGAGTGTAGTATAATAAAAGATCCTGAGGCTAAATGATTGACACAAGAGACTCCCACCCAGTCTAAACTGACCTGTCCTTGACTTTACATATACAACTTCATGCAGATGTTCAATTATCAGCAGCAAGATTTCACTTATCAGCATTTCTTTGATACCGGCACAAAACTTGAATTTCACCGGTCCGTATTTCGGTTATACCATTGCTGTTGAACTTTCGAAAAATTTAGTATGTAGTATAATTTTTCTCAGAAGCGAAGCTGATCTGTGTACTTAGACTAGTGATGATCAGAGATAGCTTTTACTCTGTCCGCGTTCATATAAAATCTCTTTTAAAAGTTTCTTCTATTGAATATGTTTTGATCGTGACTGATATGGATACTGAGACTTGATATCCAACGTTCGCTCTGTCCAGCCATTTCCACCTAACCTAACCTTCTTCTTCTATACTTTCTCGACATTGCAACTACTGCTCCGAGTGTTGTACGAGATTCCAATAACATTTCATGACTTTCTTAAACGGTCTTCCTCCTTTGCTTTGTCATAGTGCGCCAAGATATTCTTTGCAGTCTTGCTGGTTGGTTCATCGCGCTACCTGATTGGGAAGCTGGCCTCTTGATAGTACTTCCATCTACACCGATGGCTCAAGGGTGGAAAAAGGAGTAGGCTGGGATTTGTACTCCAAGGACCTTCAAATAAGGTAGTCATATCGCCCACCTGTAAACTGCAGTACCTTTCAAGCGGAAATCTTTGCCACAGAGAAGGCGGCTTTCAGGTCAGGGAACGTGACTGTATTCGTTGACACCCAGGCGGCATTGAAAACACTAAGCTCCAAAGTAGTAAAGACGAAAGCAGTTCGGAAATGTCGTGCAACGCAGAGTTCACTGAGTCACGTAAAAACTCCTCTATGCTGGGTTCATGGACATAGAAGTATAGAAGGGAACGAAATATACGATGAAACGGCTAGACACGGCTCGGAAATGCAAATTACCGAAGCGGATAACTCCCAGTTGCCACCGATTTACTTTCTGCTAAGGGTGGTTGAAGAATACACCATAGCCGTAACTAATGGCCTATGTATCAATCGGGACGACTGTGAGATCTCAAGATGCTTGTGGCTGAGAGTCAATAAGAGTCGTACTGAAGAACTATTGACACTAAATGCTGTGCTAAAGCATCAATGCTCAATCGATGGCAATATCCAGCTCTCCAGACAAGGCGTCTTGAGTATTTGGAGTTACGATTTTCAATAGCTTGGGCGAGATAGCGGAGGTGAAAATATCGAACCTCGACGGCTTCATCCGGGATAGTAGATGGTTTGACAAACTGTGTATGTACTAACCTCGGTTAGAAGGCAGTGCCTCTTCTTGGCACTCATAGAGGATATTCGCCTCCGAGTGGAAGTATGAGTCATTCGTACCTAAAAGTACGAGCAGCGGAGATAGGGTTCCTTTTTGAGGAGTGTACCTATACTGAACCATTGCTTGATACTATTTCTTAGCATACGTTCAATCCACCTGCATTCCATCTAAGGTGAGATACTTCCACTTACTTCGATTGTTTCAAACTTGTTGTTTAAAGCTTCCTCTATGTCAGGGGAGACAGCGCTCAACTTCATATAGGACAATTCTTTATTCTAGTTCTTTTTCTATTAACGTCTAATTATTCGTGCTACAGCGATTCTTATAGAACGTGCTATAGGTTTTCAGCTTATCCATTTATTTTTTGATATTTAAATTTAGATATGTAATTAAATGCAATTTTTTTATTCATTACGTTACTTCTCAATATTTCAACAGATTACGTAAAAAAAAATATCAGTCCGTACCTAGCCGCCTGGCTTTGCCTCGAATGTCACTGTTCCAAAATATAAACTACTCACGCGGCTCACATCGGCGCGATGCACGTTATCGAATCATACAGGGACGTATATATAATTTTCTGGAGCGACCACGCGGTTTTCTAGCCATCTTTTATCATATAATGGTGTAAGTTGATGACCTTCTACATAAAATTTCTCAAATGTTTATAGTTTATTAATAAACATTTCTAACCATACCTCCCATGCAGTTTCTTTATGATCCTTGTCTGCTTAGCGTTAAGTATTTTTACCACAATCCCCTCGTATGAGAATGAGGCATCATTTTCGCTATATCGCATGGAGGTGCTGGTGGTGTTGTGGTTAACGTTCGAGTTCGCAGTGCGGTAGGTAATTTAGTACGAGTACCGTTGAGTGCCGAGCTTCATTTCCATTTCATCATCTCTTTCCACACTCTCTTTCAGTCTCTGGTCGGCTGGTGTGCGCTCACGTTATCAGGGCCTTTTGGGGCGCCTTAAGTTTATGACTGGCACATTTTGTATTATAGGTTTGTGTGACGCATATATTATTCAGCTTAGATTTCACGCTTTTCATACTTGACATCGTTTTTTATTTTCTTTACAGATCTCATAACCATTACCGCCTCTGTGATTGCTTTATGTCAGGGTGCGCCACGACGCGAATTTGCCGTCAGCACACTGCGAGTGCTAAGATTTTTTCAGATCTTGCGCATGTTGCGCATGGATCGACGCGGTGGTAGCTGGAAACTTTTGGGCAGTGTTGTCTATGCGCATCGACAGGTGAGTGGTTAGCTTTTCCCGTCCTTTAAATCCCTAATTTTTCGAAGGAATTCTTCTTTTTTCAGGAACTAATCACTTCTGTTTACATCGGTTTTCTCGGCCTAACATTCTCTGCCTTTCTTGTCTACTTAGTCGAACGTGATGTGAATGAGCAGTTTAGCAATTTTGCAAAAGCTTTATGGTGGGGTGTGGTAAGTAGCATTTGGACAGTTAGATTCTTTGCAGAAAGTTTTTACGCTTTTCTCTTTCTTGAAGATAACGATGTGCACTATCGGTTATGGTGATTCAGTGCCTATCACTTGGGAGGGCAAATTAATCGGTTCTATCGTAACACTGCTGAGTTATTCTTTCTTTGCGCTACCTGCGGTAGGTCCATGAAATCACTAGTTATCTTTTTAGTATATGTATCGCTACGATCTCATTTCAGGGCATTTTGGGTAGCGGTTTTGCCTTGAAGGTCCAGCAACAACAACGTCAAAAACATATGATCAGTCGCTTTCAGCCAGCTGCTTCATTGATACAGTCTGCTTGGCGTTACTATGCGGCAGATGAGAATTCGACAGCGGTTGCCACTTGGAAGATACACGAAATACCGATACATTTGCCGAGTCCGACAAGCTCGTGAGTGTAGTTTATAAAAATAAGTTTTTTTGTTTAGGTATTTTGGACTGGTTTTCTGTCATCGCCTACTCAAATTTGGTTTGATCGTAAGCCAGTTTCAGTGTTGTGCAATCCCCAGTGTTACTTTTCGTTCTCTGCTTTGCTTTTAAAGTACATAGGTCAAGCCGAAGTGTTGTGCGCTTCTGCTTTCTGAGTTGTATTTTTATTCTTTAGACGAAGAGCTTTTTAACGGGTCAGTTATGGCAAGTTTTCAGTTCCCATTTTCATTTTCTTTAGCGGGCACAGCAAATATTAGATACATTCCTTCCATACCACTCTAACACCTCAATTTAATGTAATGTTTCTATTCCCCACCAGCTTCAAAGTCCAAAGCCCCCTCAGGCGTCTACCCAGTCGTCGTCGCCGTAGTCAAACTATTCACTCTCCGGCCGATATTATACATATTGAGTCTGCGAAGTCGGGACGTTATCTTACAGTTTTCAACGATAAATCTGTTGAGAGCACAGGTAAAAGAAAGTTATAACCTGACCAAGAAAAATAAGGTTTAAATAATAACTAACCACTTTCTTTAAGATGAAGACAGTACTCGTACACCAAAATGCAATACATTGCTGAAGAAACATAAAATTGCTATAAGATTTATAAGGATGGTAAGTTTCGAATACTTTTTCAGAAGACTCCTGAAAATGTAAATTTTATTCTTCTTGAATTTTCCAACTATATCAAAGCTTAAATTCATGGTCGCCCGCCGCAAATTCAAGGAGGCTCTGAAGCCCTACGATGTGAAGGATGTGCTGGAGCAGTATGCTGCTGGTCATGCGGATCTTTTAATGCGGGTGAAAAATATACATGCGAGGTACATGGGGAACAAAATTTGGGTGGCTTTATCTTTATAGTACTTCTCATATTTCTAGTATTATTTCCATTTATTTCAATTCCAGATTGGATCTTATTTTGGGTGGTAAACGGGCGCCAAAAATAAAGGACGCCGCCAAAATTTGTTTAGCTTCCAGGGTGGTGAAGATGGAAAGACAAGTGAGCTATCTATCCTATTATATATTTTCTTCTATCTATTATCTATTATCTCGTACCTTTTATCTACTTTCTATTATCTGCTATCTATTATGTTTATCTATTGTCTATTATCTTATATCCATTGTCTGTTATCTATTGTCTAGTATCTATTATCTCGTACCTATTATCTATTATCTATGGTCTGTTATGTACTATCTATTATCTACTACCTGTTATCTATTAGCAACTATCCACTATTATCCCAAATAATTTTCATTCCACTTACATAGGTCACCGGTATTGAAGACAAATTAGATTTATTGATCAGACAATATATGGAGGATCGTAGAAGAAAAGAAAATGAGAGAGAAGATACGTCAGAATTAACGCCAGTACTGGAAGCTGTCAATGCTGAGTCAATTAATAAAAGGGAGAAAGAAAGTATATCTGCTGCCGTAAAGGAGGCTAAAAAAGCTAATAGAACAAGGTACAATCTAGCTAGGTTTATTTTTAAACAACTTCTTACACTCTTTTCTCTTACAACTCATTTGCTCTCTTCTTCAGCCTGCCCTCTATTGTATATCAGCCCCATCTGCCGGCTAATATCAATTATCCACCACATAGGGATCTAAAATTACCGCCACCGCAACAACGACCGGATAGTGCAAGTAAACAGCTTTAGTAAATGTCATACTCTATCCACTGTGTCTATTCCTCTCATGCACGTTCGCCTGCACCCAATTTGAAAATACATACTTTATCAACTCACTTGTCACTGTTGTGTACTCACTGCACCTGTTTTGTGGATTCGTGTACATATATATGTAGCTATTAGAGCGAGAGCTTTCACTTCGTGCGCTCTCATATAAAAGAGTGACGTTCAGCGAGCACTTTACAAAGCTTCTCAAGCGGTTTACGCTTTGGTTCTAATTGTTGTAAATACTCGTACTTTAGCTGTGGGTCATTGTACTCGTATATTTGTTGTCTTTTGTTTTAGAGAAATATATTTGATTGAATTATTTTTTTTACAATTTCTTGTCAAAAGTAATTTTTATAGATGATTTGGGCAAAGTACAGGAGGAGGACATTTTCGATGAGGAAGAGGAGTTCAGCGAAGGTATGTATGCTTCGGTGGAAGAGTACTTGGGTTGGACGTGAAGGGAGAACGGAAGCAGTAGGTGCTGAAAACCTGAAGAGTGCCCTTAAAGTAGCTTAAGAAGTACATACATAGATAGTATATTAATATTGAACAAAAGTTTATTTATGTGTTATAAATTAAAAATAAATATATTTCTACTAATTAATTTTTGTAAAGGGCGTTTTTTAGAATTTTCATTTACCCAAGTAGTGAGAAGCTTGTGTCTGTGACAGAAACCTCACTAGGTTCAGCCAGGAACGGTGATAACACAGCTCGGGGCTTTTACACGGGAGATATAAGACCTCTCTGCATGCTTACCCATTAGCAAGTTCCCTGTTAGAGCCCCACGACGTTAGATATATACTATCTTCTCAGCGAGTAAACACTTCGTGACCGCTTTCAATCCCCTTTAAACCCCATCTGCCTGCGAATTCGTCAGTCGTACTTTGACTACATATGTATTTCTTCAGCTTGTTTGTATACAAATTCTCTTGTGAGCTGGCATATGGCATACCAATTCTTTCTTTGCAAGGAAGAATCTGCTTGTTGCCTTGCCTTACAAGTTTATCTGCCACGCAGTTTCCCTATGACCAGGAATCTAAACGATGTGAGTCCGTTCTGCTTGGCCATATCCTGTATGGATAGGGGCAGTCCAGCGCAATTTTTGTGTAAAACTGAAAGAGCTCAGTGCGTTGAATGCAGCATCATTTCGGTTCCAAGCTTGGCAACGCATTCCAAGCTGAAGCTTCAGCCTTGGTGGAGGCTGTAGCTGAAACTTCAGCTTAGAATGCGCTCCAGTAGTCTGGTAATATAAAAGAGATTTTCAGAGGAGGGTTTCGTCAGAAAACGCTTCCTCACACCTTACCGTCGAGTCTGGCGTCATCTGTATAGATGTCAACACTATCAGGTTGAGTGTTAGTATCTTCTTTTCACTCCTCCCTGCTTCGGATTGTTGTGATAAAATTTCTCTCCGGAACCGGTATTAAAGCACAACGATCTGTAGTCTTCGGAAGCAGGCAAAATTAATTTTATATAAAAGGGTGTCCCTGGATTACAGGTTGACAGCGGAATGCCTCTTTTAAGCTGAGAGCTGCCATCTGCAGTTCAGCCAAATCCATTTTCAAAGCAACGCTTAGCGTGATTCTGAGCGCTTCGATTATGCAGATCATACTGCACCTTTGCAGCTTGTTGAGGTTGACCTCTTTTTGTAATATAGGCCAAGTTACGATCGCACCATGGAGGGGAATTTGCCCAAATACTGCATGGATCTATTGGTAAATCCGGGGATTAAAGCCTCATTTCTTGGCTATTGCCCTTTTACAAGTATAGAAGGGCGTTCGGGCTATTAGGTTTCACAGAAGTGGGAGAAAAGCGCCCCTCTGGAGGATACGCCTAGTCATAAGGCGCGACAATAAGCCCTCTCCTAGTCTCGCCTTCACTACTCCACAGCAGATTACTTGACCGATAAACTCTACCAGTGAGCTATTCACCCCTCGAAAGCTACGAGACAGAAGTCGACTGTCGTTGGGGTCAGAGAGGAAGCTGCTAATACTTAAATATTTCAAGTATCTTAAGAGCAAAACAGAGAAGGCCTAAGGTCCTTCGGGTGAATATGTGAAACCTTTCCGGCTTGTGGAATAAAGACAACGGTGACATTTATACATACATGCCAACAGTATGTGATTAGGCTTGGAACAGATCTTGAAAAATAATTGAAAGTCATTTCGCAGACACTTTCAGTGTCTCAGTCAGTTGTGTGTTATTCCGTCCGCTTCTGCAAATTTATATGGTTTAAAACTTTGGACTTCCAATTTAGCTTTTTATTTCGAAACGGATATGTTCATAGGATGAGAAGAAGTAAGTGAAGCTTTATTTTCCAGTACGTACATATACATACTTATTTACTTCCAATGAGATACGCACTCGCAAACTATTTACACACTTTATTACAGTATATTTTGCTTAGCTGCCCATCATTCTTTGCACGAAAAACTTGTACGCTTAACCGAAAAAAGCACTTAAGCGAATTTTCTTTACTACTTCAATGAGGAAGGTATCCGAATCTCTATGAAACCAAATAATGGAGGAGCACTTACCACGTAGAAATTACTGCAAGAGAAATTTTTTCCGAATGGTATCTAATTATCTATATAACTACATAAAATAATTGCCGTTTTCGTTGTTCTGCGAGATGAGAAAAATAAATAATAGCTTGTAAAATTAGGGTAAGTGTAGAGCCAGTGCAGGTAAACGTAATACTTTCTTTGATAATTGATAATAGTTGCAAATTTTTAAGGCAGGTATCGCTAATGTGCAGATATGTTGAATGCAAGTATCGGAGCAGTTTCCTTATAAATGTTAAAAATAATGCCGCTGATGTACATTTCGGGGTAGGTATCTTAAATGTGCACTTAAGCACAAAGGCGCAAAGCAAAATATACTGTATTTGTATAGATTTTTTTTTTTTAAATCTGAATAACAGTTCTCTTCACCAGTAGCATGAAGCTGCCAGGAACTCAGCGTAGCGCTAGTAAATTGAAAATATTTTATTTATTTTAATTTAATGCCTCAATCGTTCTGTACGTCAGTGAGGTCTGCCACCAATTATTGTTGCATTCCAATAACAATTGTGTACATACACGCATTGACCACCGGCTGGTGTTGACAATATTGCGACATTGTTACTTGTTGCCAATTTAATATTTTTATTTACTTAAAATATTTATTTCCTGGGCTTTCGTACGTACTTGCATACTGATAGTTAGTTGGAATGGTTTTTGCTGTTTTCTCAGGTTTTTTTTTTTACTTTTGGCCATACATATGTATACATACAAACATGTGCTTAAATGAGTTATTACATTGTTCACATACGTATTGCACACACTGTTGATATTTTACTATTTACAAACAATAATTGAAAAATATATACTCAGTTATACTAAATATTGTATGCATGTATTTTTGGTTAAAATAATATGCAAGAGATGTAGTCAAAGTATGGAATCGCAAATGAGAGTATGTATTTACAGTGTTGGTGAACTCGGGTAAATAAAGTTGGAATCGCATATGTTTTAATAAAGTCAACAACAGAATTGATATATAAATGAGTTGCCATAGATGTGAACGTTAATTTATCTTCGAAAGTGACGCAAAAATGTATCCAAGGAATCATATGGGGAGGACAGGGCAACCCTTTGCAAAATAGCTTATAAGACGGTTGGGTAAAAACCCTCTAAAAGCTTCGTTTCGTTTTAAAGTTGCTAGTTGAAAAGGTGGGTGATATCGGATATTTCTGGTTTAGGAAGAGCGATAATTGCAATTTACCAGTAAAAGCATCGCAGGGTCTGATCAGTCTTTGTAAGATACCATAGATGTAAGATGAGAACGGCTACTACTGAAAGGTAAACGCTAACAATTTAAGATGTATAGCAGCATACATTGATAAAAATGCTGATATATTTTAGAACGAATCATCGTAATACCTTGCCAAATTTTGTTTGGAGAGAAACTGGCTTCCAACACGGTATCATCTTCCTAACTATTTTTGTTTTAGAACACTAACAGGCATTCTTACATAACCCTGTAAACTAAAGGGGCATATCAGTGGCTGGGGTTTTGGTCTAATGACCTCTGTCGGTAATGTGACTCAATCAGGGAAACGCCAATTTATATTCTCATTGAGGGTGATGCCGTCTGCAGTAGACGTGAGAGGTCTGGGAGGCTATTTAGGTAAAAAAGGGGTATTGACTATATGGTAGCCTATCTGCAGTTTTACACAAGAAATAAGAGAAGCGGCCAAGAGGCCGATAAAGAGGCTATTCGTCTCTGCATTGACGTCAGTAACATTTACATCGACGTAAAGACGTAAAGCTATCAACTGGATGATAAATAGGCTGTCCCGCTCTACACTGTAGGGTCTAAATTGGACTGGGGTGCAGAGCCTCAACTTCCCAGGGGAAGTGTAGGGATATTTTTAAACCCTGTAAGAACTTACTTTATATAACCATGAACAGCATCAAAGAAACAGTATATTCGGACAACCGTTCGACGTTTTTAGCAAAATCATATATCTAGGTCTTATGAGAAGGGGACTTTCCCATAGACAAAGCATTCTCAACTGTATAAGACGTCAAACACTGCTGGAAAAGCACTCTAAACAGGGTCAGTTCGATAAAACAATAGCCATTGTACGGGTAAAACCCGAGTCATCAATATTGGCGTCCGGCAATGCTACAGATTATATTTTTCGTCGATGTTTCTCGCTTCTTTACTGCATGGAGTTCTTAGCCTACCCCCAACAGAATCAGCATCGTCGCTGGACGCAGGAGTTCCAGCTGAAAGTAGGTATTCACGTCGACGGCACAGCAATACCGACGTTTGTGAACCAGTAAATTTTAGGCATTATCTTTCGAAGCTTAACTCCGTGCGTACGTATTTACAACCGCAAGCACTGGACTTAAAGTTGTACAGACTGGAAATTAACGATATTCACAGAGAGTCCTGATAGACCTTCACTCCTACTTATCCAGACTCGAGACTGAGGTACCGAAAATATGGATGACAGGCTTTTGAAGGCGCCACATATGACTTCAAACACCTATTCACTTGCTCTCTAAACCCACTCAGTAAGCACCACTCTAATCGCAGAAACTGGGTTTACATCACTTGAGTACCGAGAAACAGTGGAATCATGGGCAATGAAATGGACTGTAGAGGCATTAATAGGCTCAGGACTCTTAATCGGGATGGCCTGGAACTCCGTAATGTCAAATTACTATGTATACTTATCTGGCTGAAGAAAAAAATAGAATACTGCTGGGCAAATACGAAGGGAAACACATAAGCTAATTTCTTATTTCCCTCACCTTAAAAGCCTTAGTGGCCATTTCAGTGTAATCAAGCAATTGTTGAACCCGGTATGGGTTTTTCTCCGACCTGTGAAAACTTTTTCATGAGGAACGCTTTGAAGCTCTTCTCAGTCTTAGTCTTGGCTTTCCAGGATTGCCGCATCTATATAGAA